CCTGATTGGCTAACTGAAGAAAGGGAACAGTAGGTGGCTGATCCAAATTGGCCTTGTAAGAAGCTGACCTAGTAAGTGAAGGCACTGGTAAAGCAAGTCCAAATTCTCTCCAGAATGTCCTGGATCATTGGCAAAAGCAGCCTTAAAAAATCCCCCCCAGTAAGAGAATCATGGGCCTGATATATGTCTCCATCTCACAATGAATCAGATGAATCAACTGAGTGACCCCCCCCCCTGACTGTTTATAGGTGCTAGATAACAGAAGTGAAATAGAGGAGGTCTAGTTAGCCTCCATGATGGAAACAGTAACCCGGTAGTTCATGCCTGAAAACGGTGTGTTGAAAACCAAATGATTTTCTTTTTAGATTTATTAAAATATAATTGTACAAAAATTTCAACCGAGGACATTAACTATTACATCACTTCTATAGGGAAACTGTGTCTAAATGCTTTGTCAAGAAAGAGTGATAACAGTAACTGAATGAGGTGCTTATATTCAGTACCAGGATAGAGGGTGCATTGAAGTAGGTGAAGAGTATCATGAGATAAATATTGCCAAGGGCAATTGAGTGGGGTATAAAAGACTGGAGCAAGTGAGAAAAAATCAGACTAATGCTTAGATGGGATAAGATGAAACCTTGGGGGTCGAGTAATAGCTATAAGTGTCAGTGAAGGTATGTTTTTGAAAAAAAGCTATTAATATTAAGTACAGGATGTGGAAAGGTGCAAAAGGCCACATTAAGAAACTGCAGTTGGCATAACAGATTCCTTTGGACATTTTGGTAGGATATTCCTAACTGGTAGAAGAGTGTTGCTAAAAGCAACATAACAGCAAATTATTGTGAAGCACTACCTAGAAGATATAGCTGTTGATATCTAAGTATGTTACTACAATCAAATAATGGAAACAACACAAGGTGATTGACATACCAAATGCAGAAGATTATAAGCTGGTAACTGACTTTCTGTTAATATAAATAGTACATGAAATAAAGGTTTTGATCTAGTTTTTTAAACCTGTTAGCTTATTTTTCAAAAAGGAAAGGAAATTTACAACAGTATTTTTGGCTCAACTCTATAAAATCCTAGAAAAAAAGAATAACGGCTTTCCATTCGAATTTGGATATAATGTTAGAAAAATTCAGTCATATGATGTTGAACAAAATAAGCATTTCATTAAAAGAGAGAACATATCAAGATTTACCAATGCTGTTGATAAGCTACAGAACATAAAGTTAAGAATGATGCTCCATAATGGTTGGTGTGAAATTGAAGGACATCTTCTATGGTCATGAGTACAAGGAATTTTTACTATCTGTGAATGATGCCACTGTCCATGAGCTTATCTAGGAGAAGCTACAACAGCTCATTTGTTAGTTTATTTATTTTATATTTTCCAAGAAATATCAAGTTCTTATTGTTCAATAAACCTGAGTCATCTTCTAACCCATGAAAATCTAGCTAAGAGACCAATGATCCATAACAGCTCCATTATTGATGAAACTTTGTTGAATGAACAGCAACTGCCTGTTGTAGAAACACAAGTGTAGAAGACGATGTTATGAAAGTCTTCTGCCTTTCGTCTTCAAGTCAATGTCTGTATGCTGTAGTCAGTCTTTATAGTATTCTAGTGGATTGTAGAGTGTGTTATGATTGGTTGGTTTATCCCTGTTTCTGATTGGAGGAGCATTCTGGGATCTGATGTGAAGTTTTCTGAGTTTTGTTCTATGAAATCTGTCAAGTTTTGAATTTGATGTTCAGTGTTTCCTTGGAGTACAGATAAGATAGGTACTAGGAAGGTAGCTAGTTGATGGCAAGGTGAGTTTATAGCACTGACAATAGGCCTTAAAGGTATGTTAGGTTTGTGTACCTTAGGTAATGTGTACAACTGAGGGGGGAAGTTTTCATTGGTTCTTAAGTCTTTGGCTAGCTTCTCGTTGATTAAGTTTTGTTTCTTAAGTTTGTTCAGTGTTTTATTGGTTAGCTTCTCTCTCTTTTCTGTAGGGTCATTGGTGATCTTTTTATATTGGTGTTTGTGTGATAACTGCTTCTTCGTATCATATATTTGATGTCTCGAATGGCTATACTTTGTCTGCTGGTAGTATCTTGATATAGTTGTCTCGTTTTAGACAGTTCAGTGTGCTGCATTCCTGTTTAGTGATGTTTGATTTTGGTTTCTTGGCATTCCTGATTGTTTGTTTGTTTTGAATTTTGTGCAAAGCTACACGAGGGCTATCTGCACTAGCCATCCCTAATTTAGCAGTGTTAGACTAGAAGGAGGGCAGCTAGTCATCACCACCGACCACCAACTCTTGGACTACTTTTTTTACCAACGAATAGTGGGATTGACCATCACATTATAATGCCCCCACGGCTGAAAGGCGAGCATGTTTGGTGTGACAGGAATTCAAACCTGTGACCCGCAGATTATGAATTGAGCACCCTAACCACCTGGCCATGCCGGGCAGCATTCCTGAGGACAGTGTAAGTGTGATGTCAGAATTGTTGAACCATAGGTTTTGTGCAGAAGATTCTAAAGTTGCAGCTACGTCAACAGTTGGAACTGTGCTTGGTTGTATGGTGAAGTTTACACCTAGGTTGAGAATCTTATTTTCTGTATCACTTAGTAACCTTGAACTGTAATTGTGAACTATGTTTGTAGTCGTAGGATTATCTGTCTTGGTAAGTCAGTTGAATTTTTGAACTTGTTTCTATTTATGTTTTCTAGATTGGATGTATAGCATTAGGTGTAGAGGTTTAAGATATTCAGTGATCTAGCATTTGTGATGAAAAGTTGCTGAAGCTCAGCATATTGCATTCCAGTTGTGTTGGTTAGATGTAATCTTAGGAGGTGCCTGCTGGTATTGTTGAGAACTTTTTTATCTTAGTAGTTTTGGCAAAGTAGTTTCTTTGATTATCAGAAAGTTCGGGATGATGTTCAATTGGCTGCAGCATAGTAGGAAGGTCAGGTGATTAGATCAGTGTGCAAGCTTGGTAAGGTTCTTATTGTAGTAGTTTATCTATGATGAAACACCAAACATCACATTCAAAACTCAACAGATTTCATAGAACAACTCAGAAAACTTCACATCAGATCCCAGGATATTCTGGTCAGTTTTGACGTCACAGACCTATTTACCAATGTTCTAATCTCAGAAACCCTTCACTTCACCAGACAACTGCTGAATAACAACTCTCTACCATGCAGAACTGACATGAAGATAGACACCATCATGGAACTAACGACTATTTGCCTACAATCAACTTATTTCCAATACAACAAGGAATTCTACAAACAAACAGATGGTCTAGCCATTGGATCACCACTCTCTCCAGTCTTAGCAGACATTTTCATGGAAGACTTTGAAGAAAGAGCCATCTCATCCACACCTATAAAACCAATCTTCTACAGACATTATGTTGACTACACCTTCGTTATTTGGCCCCACGGTCATAAAAATGTACCAGCCTTCCTAGAACATCTTAATTCCATAGACAAAAGAATCCACTCCACCATGGAAATAGAGGAATAAAACAGCCTACCGTTCCTCGACATACTCATCAGCAGACATGAGAGAACAATCACCACAACTGCTTACAGAAAACCCACCCACACGAACAGATACCTACACTTCCAGTCCTATCATCCAACATCAATAAAACGTGGTATAATCAAATG